CTTCCCTTCCCTTCCCTTCCCCTTTTGTTCCCCAAACTCCGAGCTCCCAAGGCAACCACACAGTAAGTTAGACCTTTGCCTGCTTGGAACAGTCTCACAGGCCAAAGTACAAAAGAAAGGATTTATGGGTGACTTTCCTGGCTGGATGCTGCTTTGAAGTCCCATAAAGTGTTCCATAAAAGTCAGTAGACTTTTATGACATACAGTTGTCTGTATGTCATTTGGCTGAGCCTAGCTCCCACTCAAATTACCCTCCTTCTTGATAGGATGCGGGCATCCCAAACTGGCTACGGAGGAGAGAATAGGGAGTAGGGAGGTTGGCAGCGGTTGTGGTCCTGTGTGTGTGTGTTGTGTGTGTGCGCGTGTGTGTGTTGATCACTCCTTTGCCAGCTGTGTCCTGTCACCTGATTTCACAATCCCGCTTCTCCAGAGACAGTTTTCCAGCCTTTTCACAGATTGCTTTTCCAGGCTTCCCGGAGTCTTTTTCCTACCTGCTTCTCCGTTTATGATTCTCCAGCCTCCAATCAGCTTTCACCCCTCCTTCACCCCTCCTTCACCTCTCCTTCACCTCTCCTTCACCTCTCCTTTACCTTGTTTCGACCTGGGCCTTGTGGGAATTCAGTAAGCTGAGCTGCTAGGCAGCAGGTCGTAGCGCCCCCCACTGTAGACCACTACGCCAGGTGGGTAGTAGAGGTCAGGCTCTGCCGCGGCGTGGAGCGGCGCCAGGGCCTGCAGCCGGTGATCCTCCGGCTCAGGCTTGGTGGTGGCGGTGAAGGGACGCATGCTGGTGAGTGAAGGCGAAGCCATCCGCCACAGCAGGTTCTTGAGCGCCTTGCGGAACTCGCGGCGCACTAGGCAGTAGAGGATCGGGTTGAGGCAGCTGTTGGAGTGCGCCAAGCACACGCTGACTGGAAATGCATATACCTGGCACAAAAAGTACTCCTGGCTGAAGGGCACAGCGTTGAACTTGATGAGGATGCTCCAGGTGGTGAGCGCCTGGTTGGGCAGCCAACACACGAAGAAGGAGAGGACCACGATGGTCACTGATTTGGTGACCTTGGAGCGTCTCCGTGCGCTGGCTGCACTCAGGCCTCCTCCAGGCGTTGCCCCTCCTTCTGTCCCCACTATGCGGCGGTCAGAGATGAAGCGCACCAGCAACAGGTAGCACAGACTGATGATACCCAGCGGCAGCACGAAGCCCAGCAGCACCTTCTGCAAATGGTACAAGCCCAGCCAGAACTGCCTGTCCCAGCCCAGGAGCTTGTCTGGGAAGCGCATGAGGCAGAGCTCTTCGCCCATCACCCTGACGGTGGTGGAGAAAATGGCATTGGGCAGTGAGGCCAGCGCGGCCGAAGTCCAGATCAACACACACAGCGCTTTGGCTGAGAAGCAGCAGCTGTCCCTTAAGCTCTGGCCGCAGCAGTCGCCACCGCCGTGCCCTCTGGTCCGGTGACTCTTAAGGGCCGAAGCCACAGAGTGGTAGCGCGCCACACTCATAGCGGTGAGGAAGAAGACACTGGCATACATGTTCATGGACGTCACGATCGACACGATCTTACACATGGCCTTGCCGAAGGGCCACTTGAAGTCGAGCGCGTTTTCCACAGCCCAGAAGGGCAGCGTGAGTACGAACTGAAAGTCGGTCAGCGCCAGGTTAGTGACGAAGAGGTTGATGGAGGATTTGCGCCAGCCCTGCTTGCTCTTCATCAGGTAGAGTACAAGCAGGTTGCCGGCCAGTCCCAGCGCACAAACCACCCAGTACACCGCGCTGACGAGGATGCGCACCCGAGCTTCGGTGTCCGCGCTCTCTGCCCCGCCGCTGCCGGGGGAATGCCCCGGAGCAGCTCCGTCCGGCAGCTCCAACCCCAGCTCCCACCACAAGTCCTGAAGCTGCAGCGACGCATTGCCACTTGTGTTGGCAGCCTCCAGAAGGTCTGGGATCAGACCAAAGAACTCTGAGAGCTCATCACCCGCATTCGCCTTATTCATGGTGGCTGTCCCTTGCAGCAGTCACCTGCTTGCGCAAGTGCCTCTAGGTCATGTTCGTTCAGCCAAGCACCAGGGAGACTGGGATCGCTCTGGGTGTGGTCCCCAGACTGGTTCGTGGGGCACTCTAGAGCTTTCTAGGTAGAGGCTGAAGACAGCGCCTAGAAACTGGATGAGAACGCATCCGCGCGGGAGAGCCGCCTTGGGCTCAAGAGTGGAGTCCAGCGTCTGCTCCAAACCGGATTTAAGGGCAGAGGAGCGCAGTTCTAAGGCGAGTGGCTGGAGAAAAAGGGTTGTCCTGCCGAGGTTAGCATCTCTGTCTGCTGCAAGTAGGGCTGAGACTTACCCTTCTGTCTCTCTTAGGCACACCTCCCTGGTCTGGAGCACTATTCCCGGGCCGCTTCTCTTTCCAATATCTTGGCTTCTCAGGGGAAAAAAAGACCATGAACATCCGAGTGTCTCACTCTGACTGCTCGGAGGTGGGTGTTTTCTGTTTTCCGCTATTGTCGATTCTCAGTGACTTACTGGAGAAGCTTGCCGGAGTTACGTTGGTACTCACCAAGTAACCGCGGCTGGCCCCAAAGAGCATGCGTAGTTCCCAGGAGCGCAGAGGGGGTGCTTTCCGAGGTGCTGAACCCGGCGCGCCACCAGGGCGGAGGCATTGTTCACCCGCAACTCCCCTTTTCTTCTCCAGAGTTTCAGAAGGAAATGGTCATACCCTTTTATTTTCTTACATTGCTGGAACGAGTCTGCTTTGATTTGTTTTCTTCCCTGCCTTATTCTCAAATATTATGATTAGAATCCCCCTTTCTGGGGTTGGAGAGATGGCTCAGAGGTTAAGAGCACTGATTGCTCTTGCAGAGGACCCGGGTTCGATTCCCAGCATCCACATGGCGGCTACAAACCTTCTTTAACTCCAGTTCCAGCTTCCGGAATCCGAAGCCCTCTTCTGATCTCCGCGACACTGCACGGCACAGGTGCACTCATATTTGCAGGCAATACATTCATACACATAAAGTAAAAATAAATAAATAAAAGATTTTAAAAAAAGAATCCCCCTTTCTCCCTCTCATTTTTTAGCATTGAAATTTTATCTTTGATGAGGAATGGTTCAAAAAAGAAGTTCTTTTCCCAGCTCATTTCCCTTTAAAAGGCAACATGTTTAAGTTAGATGGTGGGTCTTTATTGAGTACACAAAGTCAACTCCATCTCTCTTTATTAGCTGACCCCTTATTTGGTGTATCTGGTTGGCAGAAATCAGGGAGAGGGGTGAGAGTTTACTTAGACTTTTGTGTTTTCTGAGAAGTGAAGCTATGTGACTCCTCCTGTTGCCGTTTTATTTAAGTGCTAAGTTAACTGCTGTGATGTAAATTACACTTTTAAGGAAGGGTGCAAAGAATTTGATGTTTTCTTTACTGACATCCAACTGAAAATAAAAGTATGTTGAGCATACAGTAATTATTCTCATTTATGGGGTAATTCAGAGTTCCTGACTTTAGGTATGATTAGATGATGTAACTTTAGAGTAGAAGAGATAAAAAACAATTAAAAAAATAAAAAGAGGTGTTCAAAGATAGTAAGTTAAACTATCTTCATTCCAAAGTAGCTTTAGAAAATATTCCCTGTAGGCGCCGCACTGCTTCATAGTTCCACTAGAGGGCGCTATAGCTTCAATAACCATCAAGCCAAACTACCCCCTTTGGTAGGATCGCATCTGCCTTGATAAAAATTCTTTGCTTCTGTGGACACCTCATCCCTGTTTTAGTAGCCTCATTTGCATGCTCACATTTCATTTTTAAAAAGATTTTTTAAAATTTCCATCAAATTTTGTCTTGTTTTGTTTGTATTTCAAGAGCCACTGAAAAGGAAATTCCTAGGACATACACCCAAAGATCTCTGCTGGGTTTGGGTATGTTCACATCAGTGCCCCCTCCACCCCACCCCCAAGCAGCTTCATTGCCTCCATACTCTAGTCCCATCCAAGAACATATCTACCTGAATAGCCCCAAATAACATGAAGCATTCACATACACGAAGACTGTAGCAGGAGGTTGATTCTGGTCATCCATCTCATGCCTATTGGCCACTCTCTTTTAAAAGGGCACTGAGATAAGTTGAGAGATACATTGCCATGACATAAGTTGCCTATTTCAGGCTTCTCTGGAACTCTTAACCTAATGAGTGTGCAGTTTAGTGGCATCTGTGACTGTGTTTTTTGTTTAGTCTTATGCATGACTAAGTTACCTAGAATGCAATGAATGCATGGGCAATAATTTTAGCTCTTTCATTTCCTTTCTGAGGGATAGTTAAGTAATAAGTGGTTATAGCCTTCTTTGATGGGCTGTTCCAATTTTAGATTTAGGTTAGGTTGAATTCACTGTGCATATTTGAATAAGCCATGAAGAGGAAAGGACTCAGCTTGCTATGTTATATATATAAAATATGGTCTGTTTTGAGACAGGGTCTCCCTGTAGCCCATCTGTCCTGGAACTCACTATGTAGACCAGGCTGGCCTTGAAATCACAGAGATCCACCTGTGTCTGCCTCCCGAGTGCTGGGACTAAAGGCATGCATCACCACACCCGGCATATAGGGTATATTTTTATATGTTGTTTCTTCCTGAAATTGGGATCAGGTTGTGATGGAAGCCTGCAGAAAAATAAGAAGCCCTTTCTCCTTCACAAAGGTGGGATCTGGGATTTTGATAACTTTTCTCAAATTCCTTTGTATATCTGAAGTCATGTGGGCCATGGTAAAATCATCAGTGAGGACAGAGTAGCAAAACACTATAATAGCATACAACTACTGAGAACCTATAATCATAGAATGTAGAAATGACCCGGTTTAGCCATGGCATTGCACAGAGGAGGCAATGAGATGAAGGGGCTTACCCAGGATGTGACTGCTAGGAAGTTGCCACACCAGATCTAAAACATCTTTCTCTTGCATCTCATGTGATGCCTTTTGTTTCATTATTCATTTCCCAACTTTAATTTAACTCCCTCATATTTTTAAAATCAGGTGGCAGACTGAGCTATGGTTACCCCCAAATCTGTATGTCCTAAACTCTGGGATGTTATTTTATAAGACAAAAGTGGTTTGCTTATGTAAATAAAGATCTTGAGATGAGAGAGATGGTTTTGATTATCCAGACGGGCCCAATACATTTACAAATGCCCATATAAGAGGGAGGAGGACTAAGTGTCAGAGAAGATCATGAAATGAAGCAGAGATTGGAATGATGTCCTTTGAGATACAGGGTGGGGCCACAAGCAAAGAGTACAAGCAATCACTAGAAACAGAAAAAAGCCAGGTTATGAACTTTCCCCCAGATTGTGCAAAAAAGACCGCCTCTAAAAGTGATCCAAGAGTTCTTTGTTTTCCTCAGTTCTTTTTCATTTTTTTACTTAAATAAATTACTTATTGAGAATTTCATACATGCGTATAAGGTGTTTTGATCAAATCCATGCCCACTCCCTCCCCTCCAACTCCTCCCATATCTCCCCATCATTTTTTTTTTCTGATAACTTCACATACTCTTTCTTCTTTTTTGATTTATTTATTTATTTTTATGGGACTTTTGGCTACTCTAACATTCCCCCCCTCTGAAGAGGTATCCCTAAAATCTTTCAAGGGTTAGATACAAGCTCCCAAATGCATTCAACATTTTTGGCCTTTGGAACAGAGTATGTTGCTAAAGAGGTCCAAGGACATTTTGTTTTAGACAAGAAACTGGCTACTTTTCTTTGGGGTCGTTTTACCCTAACTATCTACCCAATTCCTACCTCCTATTCTTATCACACCATCTTCTGAAGAGGTTACCCAAATTGCCAATAGGGAATTGGGACACAGACCACTCTGGCATCTTCCATGCGGAACAGGGACGCAGGATAAGGCAATTGGAGTACCCCTTCAGTGGGTCTATCTAAAAGACTCCCAAATGGCATAACTCTTATCTCTAGGGGGAAAAGAAAGTTCTTGAATAGTGACTAGGAGATGTGAAGGAGAATAAAGGCAAGAGTAATTAGCATTACAAGTTCTAGACAGGGAACTAGAAAAACATCAGAATAGGGCAATTTTCAAATGCTTATATGAGGGTCCACTGGAATTTCTTGACAAGGGCTTCCAAAAGCATCCCTATATTGGGTTCTTCCTCATTTTTCTTTTGTCTTCCAAGGCTGGACTAGTTGGCTGGGAAGAGTGCCTGTATACTCAGGTGAGGATCCAGTGACCCTGCTTGGCACAACTTTAATGAATGAGCACAACCGTCAACAAGCCCAATTGTGACTATGTTTAGTGATCAGGCTCAGCCGAAGTCATGATGGTGGTAGTTATTTCATGCAGAAAGGGCTGCTGTATAGCATCATCTCAGCAGTAAAGAAAGATGAAATAATGAAATTTGCAGGTAAATGGATGGATCTAGAAACTGTTATACTAAGTGAAGTAACATAGACTTTATATTGATCCTTTAATCTTTGGTTGTTTATACTTTCCTTTTGGGTGTTTAAGACCATACAGTTGGCCCAAATAAATCAGTTTATTTTTACACTTTAGGTCATTTAAGGATCTGTTCCTCAGGGGTCACATGGGCTTGGGAGGAGTTCTTGGCTCCTTTCTTTTACCAGTTCCATCTATACGAAGATAAGTCAAAGGTCCTGCTCCACCATGTCTAGTTTCACTTGGAAGCATGAATGAGATGTTTCCTCTGAGTTGACCCTCATCTTTGTAGACTGAACAATGGTTCAAGTCCATCTTGTGGTGTCTCCATGTCCTCCCTGAACAAGAGGATAGGTGACTCATCACAGTTACGGGACATTTTGAGAGATGTTCCATAGTTCCCTGGAACTTAGTCCACCTTGGAGGGCAAGAGGCAAAAAGTGTCCTTTAAGTCCCTCTGACCACATTAGTATAGGCCTCAAACTATGGCTGTTAAACATTCAATAAGGTTAGTTCCACCAGTCTGGTACTTTTAATTATCATGTACTTTGTAGATAAGGCTTGGGTAAAAAACCAAATATTCTCAGATAAACCTTGACTAGATATATACTTTGTTTCTTAAACTAGTTGACTATACTATAATCATAGAAATTTTAAGATTATGCATATATTATGTCTTGTCCTTTATACATACAAACCTACACAGACCTTCATCACTTGCTTAGGTTTTCTCATTTTTTCTATTTTGGAAAATATATCCATTCCCACATCCTTTTAACATATTTTACATTCCCATTTTATTTTTTTAAAATAATTATGAGATATAATAGCATTAACAAATAAATTTTCCATCTGTTGTGAGAGTTCTTTTCGTGGGGATACGAAGCAATGCTTATTCCCTTTTAAGGTTATATTTTGAAGCCAATGTTTGATTAAAGTTTTACTGGGGAACCAATGAATTTATTGAGCTTACTTATGGAGATAACTGAGGGGATGCTGAGGTGTATATATGACCTGAGTGTATGCACACTGGAAAGTCTTTACCCAGCATGGGTCATGCCTTCACTTCCTAGCCTTCTCCAGGCTGTATACTTTAGTCCTCCCCAGATCCAGGAGGCCATGGGTGATTAGGGCCAAATTACATACAGTTGGCTGGAAAGAGTGGCTGGGTACTCCAGTGATGGTCCAATGATCCTGCTTGACCCCCTTTTAATGAATGAGCACAATCATAAACAAGTCTAACTGTGAAGATGTTTAGCGATCAGGCTTAGCTGAAGTTGTGATGATGGTAGTTATTTCATGCAGAAGGGACTGCTGTATAGCATCATCTTATTAAAAGGACCTGGAATTTAAAAGGATTTGGTGCTAGGAGCCACATATGAGGGAGAACATACATCGTTTGTTTTTCTGAGTCTGTGTTACTTCACTTAGTACAACAG